GGAGAGCGGGGGGGAGGGAGAGAGGGGGGGAAATGAGCTGTTCGAGTGTGTCGCGCACCTCCGTTTGCGAGCAGGAACCCCTGTAGCACATTACTGTGTTATCCTGTCTCTTATACACATCTAGATGTGTATAAGAGACAGGTATAGGGTTCTCTACACAGCTATCGACAGGGGGTGTGGGGGAGCGGCCTTGAAACTCGAAATCCAAGAAAAAGAAAAGAGAGAGAGAGAGAGAGAGAGAGAGAGAGAGAGAGAGAGAGAGAGAGAGAGAGAGAGAGAGAGGAGCTGCAGTCCATCAAGAGGGCATAGATGAGGAGGAAGTGGAAGGGCGGAGAGGCACTTATATGACTCAGCACAGAGGTACAAGCGTCGGAGAGAATCCTGCGAGATAGTCTGTCACGGTTCCCTTTCAGTTACTGTCTCCGTCTTCGTTTCTTGGGACATGTGTCAATACACGTACGCATCAACATATCGTCACAGAGCTACAAACTAAGGGCGCCTTTGTGTGTGTGTGTGTGTGTGTGTGTGAGAGAGAGAGAGAGAGAGAGAGAGAGAGAGAGAGAGGAACAGGTACGTATAAATATCTATATACATTTTTATACGTTTATATCCATATATATATGCCTATGTATTTTATATGTATCTCTATATGTACACATTTATTAAAATCAAGAACGACGGTTCGTCATCTTCCTGACATTCCGGCTGTTCATTGGTTAGTTCTTGTGGGCGTATCCGTTTCTGGAGTCTTTTCTGCTTGTTTTAATCTTATCATGATCTCATCCATCTTGATTCGTCACCGTTGACGTCCTCGTGCGCGTCGTTGGTAAGCCCCTTTTTCCACCATTTTCATTGGCGATTATTCCACTTTCATCGCTCCTGTTCATCGTTTAGTAGGCGTACCGAACTGCCCACATTGTCGAGCGAGCTAGTGAGGAGGTAGAGGGAGCGTTTCCCTTGGTTCTCATCTCCTTCGACTTCACTTCGTATCCTCTTATTAACCGTTATCTACCTGCCTATATTTGCAACGTGCCGCATCTCTCAATCTTTGTTCTTCCTTTCGCCTATAATAATAATCACGGCGCTCTTTATCATCGCCAACGCCAACGCTGTTATCGTGGTCCCTCTCGTATTCCGCCTCCCTGCCTTGGTTCAAGGAAGGACACGGAGGAGAAAGAAAAATCTTGCCCTCTCGTATTCCGCCTCCCTCCCATTTTTGTTCCTCGTCTCAATTTAGAGCCCCGAAAGTTCTTCCGCGACCTCCTTCGCCGACTCCGCGTGGTCTCTCTGCCCCTCGTTGCCGGCGGGATCCTTCAGCGGCGGGTTCTCTTCTCGATTTATTGGTTGCCCCCTTGTTCTGTTGTCACCACCTGTCGGTCGTTATCGCGCTTGAAGGGTGGAGGGGCATTCTTTATCAGCGAAGCGGTATCAACAAGGCTCAATAGCGATGACGCGGAGATGTTCACATTGTGGTCACAACGGGCATAACTCACGGACATGTCCTGACAGAGGAGTACGTCTATTTGGAGTGCGATTGACAGAAAACGCAATGCGGAAGAGCGTCAGCACGGGCAATCTTAATTCGTATCCCAATGGGAATCAGAGTTCCACTCCCGATAACTCCGAGGGAGCGGCACCACCGGACGGCTACGTTTCCGATGGACTCGTGCAAACTTCGACAAACGCCAGGGAGAGGAAAAAGGGTAAGCTGCCTTGCCTGCCTGTGCGCAACTCTCACAGCGTGTCCTATGATATGTTGAGCTCGTTCAAGTTTTCACCTTGTGTTTTTCTCTCCTTCCGACGTTTCTTGCCTCCTTCCGGTCCTCGGTCATCCTCTCTGCATGTATTGGCTTCTGCCTGTGAACCCGTTCTCTTTCTCTTTCTCTTCTTTCCGCGCCCGCTACTTTTCTCTCGATCTCTCTCTTCATGATTAATTAGTTTCAGCAGAGTGCGTGCCCAGAATGAGGGGGGGAAGTTTTCCCGTTAAGTGCCCCGCTCTCTCTCGCTGCTCGTACGCGCACCGCGCGTTATCGAGCAGGTATCGAACGCGGAGCAACGTGGATCTGTCTGTCTTTCTCTCTCTCTCTCTCTGTGTCTCTGTGTGTCCGTCTTTCCCCGTCTCTTTCCGTCTCTCCCTGTTTGTTTCTGTCTGTATCTGTTGTCTCCTTTTCTTTTTCGGTGCCCCGTTTTTGTTCTCTATGTACTGTTTGTTATACCTGCTACTCTCACCTATAGCAGAATCGCGAACTGTGCCTGAGAGGTAGGATGGCAAGGAGGGCTCGGCGGGGATGTGGCGCATCCGAAATCCATACCGCTTGAGATCGGGAAGTGGCCCCTAGATGGAAAACGGAGACGGAGCTGCGGGGAGAGGGAGGGGGGCAAAAAAGACTGTCTGCACCTGGAGCTATATATTTAGCATGCTCAGCACAGCTGTCACTTTTCGCTCCCTCTCCCTCTCTCCCTCTCCCTCTCTCCCTGTCGCCGTCCTGTTCCCCTTCGCTCGCTAGGCTGGAGGAGTTTTCATGCAATCAGGCGCCGGCCATTTTTTTTTTTTTTTTTTTTTTTCCAGTACGATGCGACTTACGTAATCAATTCTTGGCGGCCAAGAAAGCGTGATGCGACGGAAGTGTTCTTTCCAATTTCTTCTATATATAGGCAAAAAGAAACAGAACGTTGAGCATCGTCGTTCTAACAGCATCACCCACCTATATAAATATATAAGCAAGCGCTCTGATATCTGTGTGACGATATATAAGCAACCCGATCAGCTTTGCAGGTGGGGCTGTGTGATCCATTCTTTTCTCCCTCCAACTTGCGCGTCTGATCGACCTCCCATATCATTTTCAGTTCGTTTGCGTTCTCGCGGATATTCCCTCGGGTTTTCCGTTGTCCGCTTTCGTCGTCGTTGTCTTCTGGCTCCTTGTCGGGTTTTCCCGTTGTCTTCCCGTTGTCTTCCCGTTGTCTTCCCGTTGTCTTCCGATGATCCATTCTTTGATCCGTTCTTTCTCCCTCCTTGTCTACATGCCATGGACATAACGTGTATGCTGTGAAAGTAAAACCTCGCACGTTCTGTCTACATTTGCAAGTGTTTATCTCCCTCCTTGCCGGGTTTTCTGGTTGTCTTGGAAACGTACCTCGTTCGTGCTTTCTCGGATGCTCTTCCGCGGTGCAGGATTCTCGTCTTCTCGTCATAACGAGAGCCATATCTACCACGCGGAGGTCAAGCATGCCTGCGACCTCGTGATCGGCAAACAGTACCAATCCCCATGGACCTTACGCGGTCCCCTCACTTGTTCCGATTGATCCTGCTTTCACTCTGTAGCACTCCATTTTTGTCTTTGTGTTATTAGCAATATAGATAGAAGAAACAATTCGTAGAGCTGGATGGGCGGCTTGGTTGGTTGGCTAGGCGCTTCTCCGATTGAGGGTCATATCAGCAAAAAACACACTTATCGAGGGTAATCAGTTAAATGGAAGTTTAGTCCTGGAATCAAGAGGGTAATTAATAACAGAAGTTCAGTCGGGGGATCAAGAAAAAGATGTCGGTTACGCGATTGGTTGGCGCTCCTGCTGTGCTTTTAGGTGTCCCTTCTGTGTCGCCTGCGGCGGAATGGGTTCTATTGTCGTCCCTCTCATGCTCTGCCACACGATCGATTTCTCCGCAATGGAAGTATCTTCTTCGCTTTTTAACCGTGCAAGTTCCCGCCCCCTCTCAGTGCCTTTCTCGCGTTTTTTTCACTTCTCTTTCTGTATTTGGTCTCCTTCCCGCGCTTTATTGGTCGCCTCTGCTCTTCTGTATCCCCCTTGGAGTTGTCGAAACGGAAGTCGTCAAAGCCACGTTCTCATTCCTTTGGAAGATCTCGTCGGTGTGGCGCTCAAAATTTGCCCGCAGGCGTAAAAGATTGTTCATTTTCGTCAGGATGGCGTTTTCTTTTACCCCCGGAAAAGGGCTCTACTTCATTGTAGGATGCGATTTACCATTGCGATGCGCCTCTCCCGTGTTCTCTTAACCGTAAACGCAGATGCCTTTTTTTAATCCTCTTTCTACTTTTGCTCTACGGTTTTTTAACCGCACTGCTCAGGGCCTGTCTCTTATACACATCTAGATGTGTATAAGAGACAGGAGAGAGAGAGAGAGAGAGAGAGAGAGAGAGAAAAAAAAAAAAAAAAGTTCTCCGATTTAAACAGAAGAGAGAGAGAGAAGGTCGGAGGAGGTGGATGGAGTCGTAGCTTGACTGAAGAAGGGGACTAAAGACAAAGAAGGAGTTATGAGTACACAAATAGATTTGAGAACCAAAATCGACAATCCGCCATGAACTTAGCTTCCAATATAAGAGGAGGAATCGAAGATAAAAGGTGCGCAAACCTTCTGCTCTCTGACTATGGTCCTAGGCCATACAACCACTCGTGCACATACACCTTCCTTACCTCGGTACTGGCGATCCCGACCACCACATGCCAACCTCCACACCACAGTGATTTCACCCTGCCAATTCAACTTCTACACCAACTAGCCCAGATGCCGCAGTTTGTCGTGACCACCCGACGCAAACGTTGCAAAACCGTTGTCAGCTCGTCAGAACTTTTCGACTCACCGTACACACACACATCACCTAGTCACGACTTCCTGGAAGCTGGCTGATGGGTTGAGGGAGAGTTTTTCGGTTGCGCTTGCGAATTTTATAGTTGCGAAGAGGGAGATAAACGATGGGAGGGAACGGGGCGAAGAGAAAGTTTGGGTAAATTGCTCATGGAAAGCCATATCGATCCCTGTAGGTTCCTTCACAACCAATCAAATCACAACGTGAGGGGAGTATCCTCCTTACACGATGTCGCCTGATGGTTCGAGTACCCTGAGGAGGGGATTAATAGGGAGTTCCTGTATGGGGATGAAGGCAGGAAGAAGGAGAGCGTGGAGAGTAGCGCGGAGCGGGACCAAGATTCAGACGAAAAGGAGCGGGAGAGAAGCGCATAGGGAGAGGGGATGTAAAACAATTATAGATGGAGGAAAAAAGGTGCAAAGAAGAGAGAGGCGAAGATGACATGAGGATAGTAGGAAGCGGGGGAAGTTTGCATACATGGCGCTGACACAGAAACAAAAAAGGCACAAAAACAGTTATGTTCCGTCCATTCTAACTCTAAAACCAATTCAAGATTGGGAAATTCAAAAACGATATCCGCATGTGAGATTGGACGCGGAAAACAAAATCCTTCGCATATTCAAATCCTACTGAAAATCTACAGAGCCTTTGAGGGCGAATTTAAAAACATTTATTTGCAAAGAAAGGACACGTAAGCGGGAAGCCCGACCACAAACTCCAGAATTTCCAACTGCCGAATAAAATTCATAGGGCGCTCACCGAGGCGCGCATAAGTCCTATGTAAATTCATGGATCGCCGAAGAGAAATCGCAGAAAAATCCTCAGAAAGAAAAAACAACAAGTCTAAAAAAAGTGAGAGGGGCTCGTCGGTCATTTATTCCATGCATACCACCAAGCCAAAAAAGGGTACCCCTAAAGCCCGTTAGAGATCGAAAAAGCACGGATAACAAAACTCAAGGGCTTCAGAAGTTCGTTCAGGTACAAAAGCTGGTACGTCACACCCCTGTCGAGTCATCAAGTAGCACCCCATCTAGTCTTTGTCATCAACTGCAAGGTCCGCTGCCACTATCATCAACGTGAGCCTCCAAATATCTGTCACCAGCTTATAGCCTCTCTCAGTGTAGCCGCTTACCAGCCATCTGACAAGAAGGAATCGTCTACGCCCTAGTGTCCTCCAAGAGCCATAAAGCCTCCCCCCCCCAAGGATGCCCACTGACTCTAAATAGACCCCCGTCTTCTCTCTGATGTGCCCCCCATAAGAGGGCCAACTACCAGTCTACCCCAGTTTCCCAATCCTATTCCTAGACAGCTAGTACGGAACGAACTCCTCTAAGGCAGCGGACGCCTCCCCCCCTCATCCTGCCCTGCCTCCTATCTTCCGTCCAATATACTATCGCAGCCTACACCTCCCCCCAATCGTCCTGCCCCACCTCCTATCTTCCATCCAATAAACCAGGGGCAAGGTCCCACTTGCACGGATTAGGAGATTTCGGCCGTTGATCTGGGCTATCTACGGTCTCTGTCTCTTAATTCGTGCAAGTGGGACCTAGCCCCAGGGCAGACTTCGCCTCCCCACAATTATCCTGCCCCTTCAAGTGACTTCGCTGGGGGTCAAGCACGTGGGGTGCCAAAAAAAAAAGACAAGCAAGAGGAAGGTACGTGGGTCCCCGTCTAGTACCAACTGAGCGTGTGAACGGGGGTTGAGGGCGGGTAGAACCGAGTCCGCAACCTTCACGTTGCATTGCTAGACTAGAGCTGTAACCAACCTTGATGCGTCCTTGTGCCCGTCGAGTGCTGTAGTGTTCATGCGTTCGGTGCGGGTCATCATCCTTTTTTCGATTTTAGCCTTGTCATCGGTGCCATGGAAAGTTCAGACCAGGCGATGCTATCTTCTTGGTATCATCCGAAGGATGCCCGGAAAGCAGAAAAAAATAATTTCATCTCGTCTAGACGGACCACCAGATCCTTTCTTGGATTCCCTTCCGCCTCCCCTTCAGAGTAAATGCGTACGCGACCGCAAATGCGAAACAACTAAAATGAAAAAAGAGTGAAAACAGAGGGGTGGGTATATGCCCTAAAACCAGCGGCAAATAGCGTTCTTC